TTGTCTTAGAGAAGTTAGCATGGTAATAACCTATCTTAAGAAGTCGCTATTATGCTAACTTCTCTAAAACAAAAATTGATTGAGTTTATTTTTAGTGGTGGAGTCCTACAACCCTAATAAAACTTTTTATATATTTCTTTTTGTTTATTCTTCGTTGTTTATTTTTTCTAAAGAGTACTTTAAACTGTACAAATAATGTAAAATTAATTGCCAATCAGACGAACTTCTGCCTATGACATATATAAATATATCATGGGATCGGTGCGTTCACATGACTAACAGCCAATCAAAAACTTTTATTAACTATGATCAGCCCGAGACAAAAACAAAGAAAAATGCCTTGGGGCATTGATAAAAAATATCGAAAAGGCAATTTTACCTATAACGATAACGATAAGCCCAAAACCCAACCCTTACACTAATTTTAACTAACTAAGTAATAAAATTATATGAACGCACCTGGCTTTAGTCATCCCCCAAAATTTGGCGCATTTGATGACAAGTGGCTTGGAGCACCATATAAATACAAAAAGGCTCAAATCTTACCAATTATAAAGCGGCGACATCATGATGATCATAACGAATCCGAACATAGCACGTATTGCTCACATATATCTACCCTTATCAAACATGAAAAAAGAAACTATTTTGATAAATGTTCTAACTAGGAGGTTTCCAGAATTAAATCGGAAAATCTTATTTTAATTTTCCGATTTATAATTTAACAGCTATTGAAAAGATCCTACTCATTTTCGAAATGCGTCATTTATTTGTTAATTTTGAAACTCCTACTATATTCAACTTTAAAAATAATACTTAAAGAGGTTATCCTAGTTAACATATTTTAGAAAACTACGTATATTGGCGTACGTGTAGTACATATTCAGTTGACATACGAGAATTATACTAAATTTTACGGGTTAACATAAAATTCAATTTTTAAAGTATCCCTTTTTTAATGTTATCTGCGGATATTTAGAGTTACTATTTAAAAATTCCGAAGTCTTTAACCATAGATAGCTTTTGATTAACTGGTTTGTTTTGGATAATTTTACCATCAAAATGACAGTCGATTTTAACGAGCCCGATATCGGTAAACTCAATCATGGGATCCCGAGATCGTTAAGGATCCGTGTCACTTCGGGTGTTTTAGGATTGGTTAAACCAACGATCTCGGGATCCCATGATTGAATTTTAACGATTTTGGACTCGTCAGAATCGTCTCAATGAGACGGTCATTTTGATGGTAATCATCCAAAACGGACTAGCCAATCAAAGGTTATTTATGGTTAAAAACTTCAGAATTTTAAAATATTACCGTACGTCACTGCTTACAGTATCCCCAAAAATAACACTAAGACCCGGGTATACTCACCATCACTACCAGTCTGTTTCTTGAATAAAACCTGGGGTATGACTATAATGATTTACTACTTTTAATACGATATATCTCCATATATAGTATCCGGTTCTTCACACCATGGGTACTATTTAATTTTAAAAATGAAATTCTTGAATAAGACCCCGGGTAATGTAAGCAGTGAATACGGTAATTCCAAATATTCGCGGATAATATAGATTAAGATTTAGGGCAAGTGTTAAGATAAGAGCAGGTTACAGAAAAATAACTTTAGTTTGAGGGATTTCTCATTTATAAATTGTACGCAATATCTTGATTTCCACGCAAAACTAATTGATCAACATCGGCCTATATTAAACAGATTTTAAATGTTATGGTTAGATTGCAAGGGCGTTAGAAAGGAGTTAGACAGAATCTATACCAAAATTATGAGTAGAATCTTTTTTCTTAGAGCACCAAGAGCAGTTTCATAGGCAAAATTTTGAAAAAATTTTTTTCTTAATTTTGTCGATCAACCTGTCACATATTCTAGACGTGCGATTTCCACACGTCCATTCTAGTTTGCCCATACATAATAACGTATATTTCTATGACGTACGTAGTGCCTATCAAATATATTTTGTTGCTATAAATATCGCGCACCACGTGACTGATTGGCAAGGGATAACTATGATCCGTAGTAAATCTCGGTGCAATATTTGCCCTAAAATTCGTACGATACAAAAGAATATTATCATTAACGTAACGTAAGAAAAATCTATAAAAGATGGGTGAAAATGGAATTATTTCTACATAAATCCAAATTATTGAATTATATTCACATCTCTTCTCATATTTTAAAATGAATTACTACCTGATTGCAATTTTTGCGCTTATTGGCTACATTTTGTACAAATGTTATATTTATCCTTTATATCTGTCACCGTTAAGTAAACTTCCTGGTCCACCTGTTAGTAATTTCATTTTAGGACATTATGCTTCCTTTTTAAACGATAAGCAAGGTGAAGCTTTTGCTCACTTAAAAAAACAATATGGTGGAATATTTCGGTATCATACTTTATTCAGCGAACCATATTTATCAGTTTCCGATCAAAAACTTGTTCAACAAATATTGATAAACCGTGCATATGAATTTCCAAAATTTTTCATAAACAAAATTATGACAAAAGAAATGGTTGGTGAAGGTGTTTCATTTGCTCAAGGTGATGTACATAAACGACAAAGAAAAATGATGAATCCTTCATTCTCCTTTGGCGCCGTTAAGGTATTCTTTTATAAAAGAAGATATTAAAATTACTATCTGTTAAAAATATTGCTATATTTTGAATTATATTTGAATTATTTCGGCTTTCTTAATTTTAAGGAAATGCTTCCAATACTAGTTCAAGCCGGTCATAAATTGAGAGACAACTGGATGAAACAAATTGGTAATAAGAAAGAGGAAAGAATTACGATTACTGATTTAATTCCAAAAATAACATTAGATGTTATTGGTCTCGTTGGTATGTATTAGACTTCTAGAGAACTTTATAGTTTTAGAAATGACTTTTCTAATTGTAAATTTAATCATAAATTATTCTAATAGGATTTAATTATGAATTTAATTCTACTACCTCCGATTCCGAATTGGCTCGAGCATATCATTTATTACTTGGTGGCGGTGGTGCTCCATCTTTCTTACTTTCTCTTTTCGACTATCTTCCATTCATCAGAAACATTCCATCTTCTCATACAAACAAATATCGAGATGCTCTTAAAACTATCAACGGCATTTCCGAGAAATTAGTTTCTGATAAAGAAAATGGTACTGCTCAAGGAAAAGACTTTTTGTCTTTGCTGGTAAAAGCAAATGAAAAATTGCCTGCTAATGAAAAATTAACGCATTATGAATTAGTTAGTCAGGTAAAAAAGATTTAAATTATTAAAATATAATTTTTATTAATTTTTTACTTAAATTATATAAATTTATTAAATTTTTAGGTTATGATATTACTCTTAGCTGGACATGAAACAACTAGTACTATTTTAACTTGGACACTATACTATTTTGCAAAAAATCCTGATATGCAGGATCGCCTTCGTAAAGAAATACTTAATGTATTTACTGATCGTAATCATTTTCCCACTTTTGATGAAATTGATCAATTGAAATATTTAGAATGTGTCATTAAAGAAGTTTTAAGGATTGTACCACCTGGTATTATTAAATATTTCTTTTTATCTTTTAATTTATCTATTTTTATTCTTATTTATTTATCTTTATTTTATCTCTATTTTTTTTTTAAAGCACCTTCAATCCTACGTCATAATGTAAAAGATGAAATTATGAATGGTTACGTTATTCCAAAGGTATTTTCTTAAATAACTTCCATAGTCCAATTTTATTTGCTATATTGATATTGTTATCAATATATACTGTAACTTTAAACTTCTTTTTTTAGGGAACTCCAATGATGATTCCTATTTATGCAATCCATCATGATCCCTCAATTTGGGGTGACGATGCTGAACTTTTTAATCCATCTCGGTGGCTTGATCCAGAAATAAAATCAAAAGTAACAAATACTAATTACTTACCTTTTGGTGCCGGTCCAAGAAGCTGTTTAGGAATGAAAATGGCTCTTTTAGAACTTAAAATTGTTTTATCTATAGTTATTAGAAATTTTGAGTTTAGATTAGTTGAAGGTTTTACTTTTGAAAAGATAACTTTAAATTTAACTAAACCTGTTCCTGGAGTGGATTTATTCGTTTCAAAAGTGGATTATTAAATCGATTTTTTCTTAAAATAAGGTCGTTAAATGATATTTTATTTTAAACTATATTGAATTTTTTTTTTTTTTTATATCTTTAAATCACTTTCATCAAATTATGTATAATATTTAATAAAGATATTTTAAAGGATTTAATTAATAAGGGTATGTACTTTAGATTACTGAAACATGTGTATCTAGTCCAACAATAAAGGCTAATTATATTTTCAAGTTTTTACGCTCATTTATTGCCATTTCATTATTGAAACCCTTCAAAATGGTTGTAGGCAAAGTTAGCAGTGTCACAAATGTGAAAAAAACTTGGTCTCACAGCTCCATGACCTGTATGCAGCAGTATTACAGCATTAAGACCCCTCAGGAACGTCTGAAAAATCATCAACTGTAGCTGTATTTTAAAGTTTTCCTAAATTCATCATACGAGTTTGTAAAAATTAAATTTGCAGGCTAGTAGTGATCACGATAGCCGAAAAAAAAGAAACAACTTTAATTTTAATGCATGGGCTTGTACTTATAAGTATTCTGCCACTTGTAAAATGCAATTCTTGGGCTAGTCAAAAAAAAAACTTCCATTAAGAGGTCAATTTTAGCAACTGCTCTAATAAACATTCTTTTTAAATATTGCTCATAAATTTGCAGTTTCGTATCTTGGTATTAATATTTAAAGTTTTTGGAGATCGATACGCTCTAAACATCCTTTTTAATGAGGTCTGTTCTTTGAAAATCCCTTATAAAATTGCTACAAGCTAATGGTGGGCGCCGCACGAGATTTTATGCATTATATTATCCACGAATATGCGCGGGTTTAGTATAACCAATAAGCCGGCCCATATTAACACAATTTGATCAAAAAAAAAAATCACCGATAATTAATGTGCATAACTCTAGATAAATTTCACACTTCTACACAAGCATTATTCAGAAGGGTTATTTTAATAATATGTGTAATAGTAAACCTGAACCTATTTTATAAGGTTTGAACAGAACATTTTACAATCATGCATACTGTATTATGTACCGCGGAATATTTAGAAATTACAATCATTACCACCAGGACACGAATCAATTGTTGTAAATGTGCCATATAAATTAGTACTTAAACTTTTATTAACAGCAAAAGACAATGGTTGAGTTTTCACAATTAATAAACATTTAGTGAGGTTATTATATTATTTTACTACATTAATCGGCAAAATATCTATCAATTTTAATTTAGTATAAAATTGATATTTGATATGACTTGCTTGTAATATTAATTTATTGAGTCTAATCTTGTGTATATTATGTATAAAAAATAAAAAATCGGTCACTTTGAAATATATATTTAGTATTAAAAAATTTGACTTCTTTACATTTGTTCGCATTATTTTCGAGAGGAGTCTAACCTGTGCATCAGATTGAAACGAATATTACTGTATTATGAATATAGTAACTAAGACAAAACAATAAAATACTATAGTATGATAGTTTTGAATTTCTTGTTTACAAGAGACTGGACTCTTTAGAGGCAGTCCAGAACCGGTCCGAAATTAGTCTAGATAAAAATCGAGCGTCATTCCTAGCACAGAATAGGAATGAATACATTTAGTATTTCCGTTTTAAATTTCGCCTAATTGTTAAGCAATTCAATTGGTGAATCTAGCAATTGTTTTTATGTTTATCGTTACCATCTGAAATAGAAAGAATGTATTGCACAATGTTCTAAAATTATATTAAACAGTTTATTTAGACCGGTTTCAGAGGAGTTGCGAACTAGTACCTAGCTCAGGTCAGACTTTAAAGTCAAACTTTTTAACATCCCTATATAATAAGTACTACCATTTAAACTAAAAAATTATAGAGATTTTAGTCACAACTGAAAGTCTAACGCCAAATAAGAAAGAAAAAGGTATTGATCGATTAGGAAAACCCAATAAACGGCAAGGTCTTCTCTATCTCTTACAGTACATTGAGTAATTCCTTGTCTAATAATACACACATCCTAATTTAAACACTAGATATTAACCATTAAGAGTTGTTAGAATGAACTTATAATACAGCCTTTCTCATCTAACATTAACCATGAAGAGCTGTTAGAATGATTTTATAATAAGACCTTTCTCACTTTAATATTAACCATAAATATGATTATTTTGCCTTATTTATTTGATTTTATAATACGGTCTTTCTCACCTAACATTAACCATAAAAATCTGTTAGAATGATTTTATAATAAGACCTTTTTCACTCTAACATTATCCATAAAGAGGATTATTTGCCTTATTTATTTGATTTTATAATACGCCTTTCTTATCTAACATTAATAAAAGGTGCTGTTATAATGATTACAGCACCTTTAACCATAAATAGGTGTTAGAATGATTATGATTGGTCAAAACAATGTGACTACCGCCTTAATTCGTCACTCCGATCTACTTTTGCACCCGCCAGGTTTAAAGATGTGCCATGCGCATTATTATTCATGTTACATTATGCAAAACATAATGTCGCATGATGTAATGTAGATGGTTTAAATTTAACTCAATGAAATTTTTATTATTTATTAATGTTTTAATTTGATATGATAAGTAATCCCGTAAAAAGAAGTTCGAATAATAAAGTAGTTTTCAAGAATAAAATTTACTTTTGATATTTAACTTTATTTATTATGTTAACATATAACGATAACAATTGTATTTTTTGTAAGTTTAACCGGTTAAATAAAAAATCAACCAAGTTATATGAGCAGTTACTTATGCGTAGAATAAATAAGTTATCATAGTTTATGATGTGTTAACAAACGTGATAAACCAACTAGTTTAACCGATTTTGATTTTGACAATAATGGTTTAAGTTCAAAATAGATAAATCTCTAACTATTTAACATCCTTAGGTGTAAATATAACCAAATATTAGAGCTATTCTTGATAAAAATCAGATATATAGTAATTATAAAGTAATATGTATAGGTGCATAGTGCATCATGTGACATTATGAGTAATGCATTCGCACATCTCTAGCCAGGTTAGTGGCGCAGTTAGCCACGCTGTAGCAAAATCATGAGACCCAATATTGAATCACTAACGAAGATCAACACTATCGCGTAAAGTTAAATCGATAAGAAAAAATAAGTATAATTTAAATTAATATATTGAATTTAATTTTCGTGCAAATGAAACAGTTATGAAATAGTTACAAAATAACTTTGAAATGACAAACAAGGTTAATTTAATTGATTTTTTGCAACATTCTTGCTCAAACTATGATCCCTTTTGTTAATTTTTCTTTTTTACGAGAGGAAATAGTTTGAGGATCATGGCTTTCTTTTACTTTATTTAAAAAAGTGCGTGACTTTTTTAGCTCGATTAGGCCCACTCGACTTACGCCGTTTGACAATTTCGACTTGAGCGTGGATCACAGTACTAAGGATTGGAATTGGATTTAGTCAACTAAAAAATTTTATAGTAATTAGTTGACTAATCAGTCGATTAAACATAATAGTCAACTAAAACTGATTCTAATCCCTACACAGCACCACTTTTAATATATGATAAATCCGTGTTAAAGTTATTATCATACAAGAAGGAAGTCAATCGTGAGATTGAAAACAATTTCGATGCACAATATCTTGTAATAAATTTAGGGAATTGATATTCCACACTGTTAATGTAAATTATTTTAAACTTTGATAGAAGATATCTTGACATCTACCTAACCAAATTAGACGAACTTTTTTATTTCAATTGTAGAAAGTAGCAGAATCTTAACAAAAAAGCTCATCAAATTTGGTTGAGTATGTGTCGAGATATCTTTGATCAAAATTTTAAAAAATTTCAAACTTATACCAAATAGAAGCTGTGCCAAAAATTGTTTTTAAACTTTGATCGAAGATATCTCGACACCTACCAAACCAAATTCGATAAACTTTTTTTTGTTTGAATTCTGCTACTTTCTAAAACTGAAATATATAAATTAAACTGAAATATATAAATTTAGTTAGGTAGATGTCGAGATATCTTCGATCAAAGATATATAAAATTTCAAACATATACCATATAGAAGATGCGCCAAAAAATTGTTTTTAAACTTTGATCGAAGAAATCTCGACTAGTGATGTGCCATTTATATGATGTCGAAATTTTTTAGCGTACAGTATGTATAGTGCTTATATAATAAAGTTGCTTAAGTAGTTATATTTTAAATTTTTTTAATATTAGTCTATATTATAATTAATAATATAATATTACAAATAAATATTTATTATATCAAATTAGTAATATATTATGATAATAAATGCAGTTTATTGTATTAATATTTAATTAAATATTAATTTATTTAAATTATTTTAGGACCAGTGAAAAATCATGTGAATTTGGTGATTTTAATTAAATTTCGCCTTTTTCAGAATCTGGCGTTTCCCTAAGGATAATCGATTTCGTACTAAAAAAACCTCTCTTATGTGCATAATAACCGTTGTGGAGGAGAAAAATACGAGCATAATGGTAGGTGAAACACTAAAATCGTCCCAGTAAGTCGTGGGATATAGGCGTATTTGTCCTCACGGCTATATTATATTAACAAATAAGTATCGTGAAGCTGAAAATGCCCATATCTCACGATTTACTAGGCTGATTTCGATGTTTCAGCTACCATTATGCTCGTAATTTCCTCCTCTACAAAATTTGTTATGTGCACAAGAGGTTTGCTTATTACAAAATCGATTTATTTTTAGGGTAACGCCAGATTCCAAAAAAGACAAAATTACATAATAAACATATCCCCGCAGTTTACTATTTTTTCACTGGTTGCCAGACGGATCACAAATTAATTTAAATTTTTTTATTTAATAATATTTATAATTTTATACATTATAAAATATAAAATATATAATTTATATAAATATATAATCATATATATATATTAAGAAAAAGAAACCTTAATATATTTAATTTAACTGACAAAAAAACACTGATATTTGTGTTGATCAAATTAACAAATATGGTCAATTTGCATATCATCGAGTCTCTTAATAAATGATCGGTGAAAATTTTAGTGTACAGTACATACAGTATGTACAGTACTGTACGTTGTGAAAGGCATGACTAACAGGCTCAAGGCTAAAACTAACTAACTAATTAACTAACACACTAAAACTAACTATCAAGGCTCTAAAGACTCCTAAAACCTCAAAGTGATAGGCCGAAAGAAGCGTGAAGAGACTTGGTCCAAGTTTCAAGGCTTCCGGGGTCTTGCTGCGGCTATTGCAGCATAACTGGTGACTTGGATAAGTGATTTTGCTTACTATACTAAGTTTTCTTGTATTTAAGGTCTTAATTCAACACTAATTATCTACTTTCTTCTATTTGAATATACTGCTTAATTCAGGTCACAGGTGATTAAATAAATATAACTGCGGCGATCGGGATTTATACTGTTATTGATCGTCACGGGTTATGTCACGGGAATTTAAGTGATCGATCGATTAATTGTTAGGACTAATTTGCTCTAACAATGGATCACGGGGTAATCAAAGGTATATTAGATCGAAATAATACGAATAAGATTCTTTTTAATTCTCTCTGATTCAATAATGACTTCTATACTAATATTGGGATAGTGTAAGTATGAATGGTAACTTTTTGGGTACGAAAATTAGGAACAAAAGGAAAAGCGATTTAGAGTCACTACTTCTACTCGAATTTCGAAGTATTTGAACTCAAACTCCACTGAGTTATTTTATTTAAGGTCAAGTCGGGCTGCTTATATACTTTTAATTACATAGAAGAAAATTTACTAAATGAAAGAAATTTGATCTATTTACTTTTTTTCTTCAATTTCACCTTTCGTATCTATCATTGCCAGGAGGGGTAGTTTTACCTGTCACAACATATAGTACTGTACGTGGCACATCACTAACTATAACTCTTATTATTTATTTTAACAAAATGTTTTATAATTCTGAATCCAGAACGCAACAAAAAATTATTGAAGAAAACATGATTAATCCAAATAGTAACAAATAGATCGATAATAAAGCTATTGCATAAATTAGAGGAGGATTATAATCATTAGAAAAATCATAATAATAATACTTTCTGACTTAATAAATATTATGTTTATCGCGTTTATTTAATAATAAAATGACTATAAAT